CGACCTCACAATACACACACTAATGTGTGACCTGCTTAGGATAATAGAGGAAATCACCAACACGGTGACAGACAACTTATGGACTAACCGCGAAGACTGTGAGGTCGCCAGAACCTTATGACCGAGGTTGGATAAAAATAAAACGAAAAGCCTTTTAGGCTTCAGCAAACCTGCAGTTCGTGTGCTTACTGGAGTACTAACGGGGCACTGTGCCAACTCGCCTCTCCCGGCAAAACTATTCGAGGGCATCACAATGGGCAATATATGCCTCCGAGTGGAAGTGCACACAATTGGCAGCACGCGCCTTCCGAACCTAACCTAACCATGAAGCAGCAAAAACTAAAAACAAAATACAGCCACTTGACCAAGTGCATAAAAAAGCCTGCTTAAAGAGACAAGCGAGCATGGGTAGACAAGCTCGCCCAAAACGCAGAAAACACTGTAGCTATAAGTGACAGAAAACGACTGTATGAGATTACTCGAACTTTCTCGGGGAGAGAAAGTAGCAGCAGAAAGGCAGCGTGCCTTCTCTTTTTGACAAACGAAAGAGAACAGATGGATCGCTGGACTCAGTACTTTAGAGAAGGATGAAATGCGCTTTGCTGATATGCTCAATTATCTCAACAGTATTGATATGTCACTGCAATTCAGAACTAAAGTTATTGCGGCAATGAAGGATCTTAAAAACAATAAATCACCCGGTATTGATAACATTTATGCTTAATTTCCCAAAAACGACCCCAGCATGTCTGCAGATGTGTGAATGCCCGTCTTTCACCAAATGTAGGAAAATGAAGTATTTCTAGATGACTGGAATCAGGACATACTTCTCAAAATACCAAAAAATGTGACTTAAGTAAATGCGATAACTATAAAGGTATTATGCTTTTACCTATTCCAAGCAAAATCTTCACAACTATTTTTTTCAAATGTATGGGTTATTCGTGGAACACAATATGCACAGAAGCAAACAATTGAGTGAAATTTAGAAAAATAGTTGAGACCCTATGGTTCATTGGAAGAAGAGGACTGAATTGACGAATTCAAAAAATATCAGGTATTCGAGAACTCAAGACAATTAAACGAGCTTTGTAACGCTTCAAGGATTATTCATTGGGTATTCTTTGGATAAGATAATGAGGTACTTCTGAAGGTAGAGAACTAGAGTAACTACTGAAAAAACAAAAGCTATGTTCATTACAAAATGAAGAAATCAAAATCTAAAGAAAATAAAAGTCAATAATGTAATGTAAGTCAATAAGGGGAAGATAATGTAAAATATTTAGGTCTAGCTTTTGACAAAAGATACACTTGGTTAAAGAATATAAAGGTCAAGAAGCTGGCTTGTAATAAAACTCTAAATGCTCTAAAATTTTTAACACAAGAAAATTAAGTATGAAAAATAAAATTCTGTTTTATAAGCAAATAATTAGACCTATACTTATGTTGCTCCATCGATGACTCCATTAGATAACTTCAAACTTATCAGAATATTGCATTGAGATGTATGCTAAAAATTCAATGGTACATTAGAAATGAAAAGATAAGTGCAAAAGTAAGACAGAGCGCTGAAATTGTTTAGTTCTGTGGATACTCACAATAGTTCAGAATTGCACGCTCTTAAATCAAATGCAATATATATTTCATCTGAAAGATATGCTGTCTGAATAACTCATTATTAGAATTCAAGCTCTTTTTACAATGAGAGATGAAAGCGACAATGCAGAAATACCTAAAGAAAAAACGTTTGAACGTCCTTCTGTATACGTAAGAAAAAGAAACTCCAATGCTTCGGTAAATACACCTACGTATTTCATAGATAATGAAAATATCTTTATTGTACCTATCAGAAAAGGCATGATAAAAGAACATGTTTTAAACAATGACCATTATAGAAAAGTGACAGCTAATTTAGAGATTTCTACACCTATTAAGTAAAAAGTAGCAAGGCATTAATAGTACATAAAAGAATGGAGGTAGAAGTAGATACTTAAAAAATGCAGAAAGTGGTAGAGAAAAAAATTTTGAATTAAAAAGTCTATTCAACATTTTAAACATACCGTGAACTTGAGCTATATCCTAATGTAATGAAGCTGAAAAGCGGTGGAGTCCATCACACATATTTATTCACCTCACTTTTTTCCATTTTTTTTATAATTATTTTATTTTATTTATAGATACCTGAAGCATCTTGAGGCAGCGATGAGGACGTTAGTCACATACCATGGAACATTTATCATTTCTTGTAGAATCTGAAAATATAACCTTTGATAAGTATTGATTTTGGATGTTGAAGATGTGCCCTACAGCTAGATGCCGTATGTCCATACTGGTTTTACCACATTTTTGTATAAAATAAGCTTATTATTGAAAAAAATTGAAGATATCTTGTTCAGCAGTCAATGCTACGGCTTTAATTCCCAAGGGATTTTATATTCTGCACTTTTTTTGCGGAATAATTATTGTTAGAGTAATTTTGAAAACCCAAAAAATAAACATGTTTTAAATGGCGCTTGCTGAAGTTTTTGAACCTCAAGGGGTTTTTAAGTACAGGCTTACAAATATGTCCGTTGATTCCAAGCTAGTTCAACCAGCAGTTATGAAAATTACAGAAAAAAATTAATCAGAACGAACTACATGAATTTCCGACAGAAAAGTATCTACAGCAAATGACACCTTCATGGCGACCTCCATAGTGGCAGAAGACCTATCTGGCCTCATTAACCTAAATAAAAGCGAGATGACACTCAATAGCAGAGTATTAGTAGCGGTTCTTCTTTCCCTCATAATAATGTATTAATCAGGAAATTAACTGGATTTTTTCGAAACTAGCTGTTGTTTAGTTGATTGGTCAATTTGATTATTCCGAAGATTTATGTTGGTTACATTAAACTCTTCGCAGCTCTTTAAGATTTTCTTCGCGATGTAGTTCTTTTGGGCTTTACTTTCTCCGCTCTTGTACTGTAGAAGAACTTATATAGAAAACTTAGACTAAAAATAAAAAGGCCATTCTTATTTAAATACAAATGTCTTTATTGATAACCTCTGGAATGATATAACTTGTGTATTGTACATATATAAATACCTTAAAAAACTAAGCAAGTTGCCATTATATAATATAAAATGATTTATATTAATTTTATTAATATTGCGAACTAGGCACAAGCTTCATACACTTTAGTGTTAGGTATTGTTACTTCTCAAACATATATACATACCTATGTATAAATCTGAGATTTCACCTCAGGTTAACCTTACCAACTTCAACTAAGCGTATTTACATTAACAATAACGCTAGTTTCGAAGCGTTTTTCATTGATATTAATATTGATATTATTTATTTAAATGTAATATATAAAAATATGGTCTCATTTATTCAAAAATTAAAGCAATTTAAACCAATATTCTGAGCTGGACTTATTCTGCATTTTGCTGCAATAGCCATATGCATACATTATTTAAAATATATATTTCCTGCTGTTATTTATATTTGAAAATACAAATTATATTTTTAATTGCACTTGTGTTTCTCCGCTTTACATCTATGTTGCTAATTTCTCATGTTAATCTTTTTGAAATTATAAAATATATTTTATAAATAATATTTACACTTAATGATCAGTTCATTATCATACGACGTATGCGATTATTGTATAGCTAATTTTTTGTTATGGTTATGTTAGGGTTATGTTATGGTTATGTTATGGTGATAGGTGACATATTACGCATATCTCGCAGACACATAAATTTTTTTATTCAGACAGTGGCAACTTAAAGAATAGATGAGTGCATTTCATAAAAATATGCTTGGAGTTAATGAATCATGTACTTGTATTTAGTGATATCGAAGGAAGGCTTTATTAGAAAAATTATATTCATCTTAGGAACATATGCTCAATTGTGATTAACGCACAAAAGACTTGTGATTGTGATTGTAATTGGTATTTATGTATACCAATTGCTGCCAATTGCTCAAATCTATATTTATGAAAGTATAAAAAAGTTTCATAGAACTATTCAGTCTGTTACTTGAATTAAATGAGTGCCTCTTTTGTTATTTAACATGTTAATTAAAAACAATATATTTATGTAATAGATATATATATATATATATAAAGTAGAATGAAAGAATTCTAGTTATAATACTTAAGGGTTCAGAAATACTGAATATCAACCATTAAAGTTGTTACTTCTAACTTATAACAATTATTTTTCATATCTCCACGAAAGTGAAAAGCCACTGTCTAATACATAGAATATTCCTATGCAATTATATAAAAAAAATATTATCACTCAAAAAATTAAAATTAAAATATTAATAATAAAAATTATAGTAAATGTTATTACAATGCAACCACATCATGTTTTTAATGGTTAAACCTTTTTGTTCGATATTTACGTCAATAAATGGAATACATAAATAAATAATTAAATAATTAATACATAAAATAATACATAAAAATACATAAAAGTTATTATATGCCTGTGTTATATTGTTTGAACTGATTTAAAGGTTGGAGAGAGCATAAGTTAAGCCATCTATGTTTCATTTATCAAAGTTAAAAGACTGGTAATGGCCAAATATTTGCATTAATAAATAAATTTATATTCTATATAAGCGGACATATAATATTCGGGAAATGTGAAAAATATTTAATTTGAGTAAAAATAAAAAGAATCGCGAAAAAATGCTTATCATTTGAAAATTTGTTAGTGATAATAGGAAATACGTGTTTCCCGAATACTGATCGTTTCTAACGTGTCATACAAATATCATATATATTTATTTGATATTTAAAAAGTTATTATTTCTGGATTAATTGACAAAAAATTATGAGTTATGAATTTAAAAAATAATATTTGTAAATAAAATAAAATATTTAGGGATATTCTTTAAAATGGAATGATGAGTCCATCGCGGTATAACTTATCCTTATTTAAAACATATTTTGTTAAATTTCTTTATACTATAAAATAAAACCAATATTAAGCATGGAATGTTTAAAATTATCTTAAAATATTTATAATATTCGCTTTTAAATTTGTGCTTCATCTTAGCAAAATACTTCAATTATTTAGTTCTAAATATTTATACTAATGCTTCAGATATTTTTCGAGTTAATCGAAGCTTGAAACATTTTAATGATCAAGTATATTTGTACTCGGGCTTTTGGGTCGACTATAGCGAACCATCAAACATGTGTGAACATAATAAGGTGTTCGAGCAGTTGTTGTTATGGGTACGTGTATTAAACGGAACAAAAAAAAAAGATGAAAGATAAAACAGATTTGCTGTTCGAGCACAAATATTTTCGAACATTTGAAGTGTTGAATCCAAATGTTTGAATTCGAGTATTCTCGAACTCGAGCAGTTCGACGGTCGAACATGTTGAAGCACTAATTTGCACTGGATTTTCAGTGTTATATCGAACACAGTTTTTTTATTTTTGAAATAAATCGTTGTTTTTCAACGCGTGAAGGCATTTAAAAAATTTGCGCCACTCAAATCTAATTGAGCTTCGTATCCTTCATCGGCTGAAGAAGAATTAGTATTTGCAGATTTCAATTGTTCAATATCTAAAGTTGGTGGCTTGTCACCAGGTTTCCAGCGCCGATGTATTCCCATCGACTTCAATTTCTGACACACCGATGACGGTGATATGGCGAATCCTTTTTCTGCTAAGCGTGCTGAAACCTTCCAATATTGAATATTACTATCTTCTTTTATTAAATCTAAAATTTCGCGTGTAATTTCTTTGTCTCGCACTTCACGCTCAGCTGCTTTCAGACGTCTACGAGGATGAACAACTTTAGATGCTGCGTTTGTTAAGGATTGTTGTTGCTCTGGTAGATGTATTTTTTGCGGTAAGTGATTTTGTTGCTGAAGCTGTTGTTGTAGTTGTTGCTGTTTCTGAAGTTGCTGCAATTGCTGATGCTTTTGTTGCTCTAATTTTTGATGCAGCAAGTGTAGTTGTTGCTGTTTAATTTGCTCTTCATGTTGCAATAACAGATGTTGTTGTTGTTCAATTTGTTGCTGTTGTTGTTGGTTTTTATCAAAATGTCTTTGTGCACCTTTATCAGTAGACTCTTCAATGGTTTCGTGTTGTGCTACTTCGCGAATTTCTTTTTTATTTCGATAAGACAGTGGCACTCCTTTAACAATAGCATCTCGCACTTTCCATGCTGTCATTTGAGACACATTCAACGCGCGAGCGATTTCCATTGTGGAAGCGTTTTGAGCTACAAGCGTCTTAGCCATAGCATATTTTTCATCGTCAACAAACACGTTCGGCTTGCGCGGTTTTTTTGAGAAATTACATTTCTCAGTTACTCTAAAATAAAGTTAATACTTAAATATTTAATAATAATTCTGATAGTTACTTATGGTATATATTTACATTTCATTATTTTGCATTGTTGAAATGGGCCGAATTGAGAGATTTACGGGAAGTTGATGTCTAAAAAAATTAAATCAATAAATATTTATATTTGTTGTTAAAGCTTTTTAAAATTACATGACAGCAGTGACAGTAGACGGAAACTGGTTTGCCGCTGCTAATGGCGATATGACAACATTCTCCTCAATCCCATGGGATATCTCTTTCTGGTTCTCAGACATATTTTCAATTTTTAAATTTGCGGGCATATTTTGTATGATTCGGTGTTGTTTCTGTTGTTGCTGTTTTTGTTGTTCTAATTGCAAATGGGAATTATTAACCTTGTCTTTGATTTTAATCTCTTCTTCATCAGACTCAATTTCACTGTTATCTTCACTCTCATCAGGATCGTCTTTACCTTTATCTTTGATATACTCTTTGTTTTGTTGATGATATTTCTCATTTCTTTGATTAAAACTTTGATTGGAAACACTCTCTGCAATATCCTCCTCATCATCGTCATCAACTTCACGATCTTCGCGATCTTCATGTTCTTCACGATCTTCTTGGTCTTCATGTTCCTCAGATTCTTCATTATCACTTTCATTGTTTTCTGTTTTAATATCAATTTCAGTTTGATGAAATTCTGGAATCTGCATTTTTTGTTCGTTGTTTATTTGAAGTATTTCTGTGGCATCCTCTACATTTGGGTCAATGACGCGTTCATGAAGGCTTACACCATTCACAAGACTCTTTCGTAATCGCCAAGCAAATGTACGAGAAATATTTAGTTCGTTGGCAATCACTGTTGTGGTCGCTTCACGCAAAATTAACTGCTTTGCTAACGCAATCTTCTTAGCATCCAATTTGATGCGAGTACGCCCTTTACGTTTATTCCCAGCCATAATAACTCTGTTAAATAAATGTTTAAAAATATATTCAATTTCATTTGCATAATACTTACTTTCTGTTGTGTATATATATTGCATTTTCAGGTTTTCTTATACCAATTCGTTTGGGAAAGTTATTATATTGCACAATGTTTTGTTTAAAAAGTTGTTGTAAGGGCCTTCAGAAGAAAAAATATAAGAATCTTATGCAATACAAAATCTAAATTGTTAAGTAATTCATACATTTTAGCAGCTTTAGAAGGACAACCAGTCCGCTTGTGCCAACCGAGATGATGCCCAGTCGGAAAAAGAACATGACAATCTGAGCACTGCATTGGACGGCTATATGAAAACAAAAATATAATCGATATTAAGAATGTAAAAGCGGTTTGAATACTAACGTTTGATTTCGACGTTTTTTAACACAACGTCCACGTCTAACATGTTTCTCTAAGAATCTTTTATAAAAGTAAGTTTTTCTGCAGTTCGTGCATTCATAAACTGGTCCAGGTGTGCCATGTACACTCTGCATATGTGCTTTTAAAATTTGCTTCATTTCAAATATTTGGAAGCAGCTTGGACACTGATAACCACGCATCGGGGTTGTATTATTTCCCATGTCGTTACCATTTACATTAGCATTCATATCATCAGATGGTGTAATTAATTCTATTTCTGGTATAAGGGGAAGAGGTTCATCATCATCTGCCTCTGCTTCACTCCCACTTTCTGCACTGTTGCTCGCACCATGAGCTTCAGTAATTTTACTCAGTTGGTGCTGCATATACTCATGCATCAAACGTATAGAATTAAAATCAAAAGGAATTTTTCCATTATTGATTCCATTATGCATTTCAGCATGACATAGAGGCATCTTATCGCCTTCTTCCTGGTCACTCTCCTCTTTCTCAGTGTTTGTTTCTTTGCTCTGTATTGCCAGATTTAAGTTGCGGTGGGTAGAAGTGGTTTCCACTACTGATCCCACATCCCTCTCTACCTGTACATAATTGGAAGCTTCACGCCCGCCTGCAGACGTCGCCTCAATTTTTTGTATAAGCAATTGCTGACGGAAAAAGTTATCTGCATCCTCACATTTCTTCTTGAAGAGACATGCCGAAATAGCATTCTTTGCACAGGTAACGCACACTTGCTGAGGAAGAGTATCGCCTTTTTCAATCTGAAACGCAAGAAAGAATATATTAATGATACTTCTGAATTATTTTTAATTATGTAAAATAAACGCTCACAGCTTCTCTGTAATCGACATTTAAAGTGAGATTCGTAAAAACGTTTTACATATTAAATAAAAATTGAATTGTATTTAGCCGGCAAATTATCTTTTGTTTATTCATACACATACATATATAGAATAAAATATGCTCAGATTTAATCATATATAAATGGTCAGATACAAATAAACGAAATAGGCACTATAATACTGAAATAATAAAAAGTTGAACCTAATATTTCAATATTCAATATTTAGTGCAATAAGTTTTTATTTGTGAATAGGATGCAAATTTTCAATAATGTCTGATAAATGTTTCAATTACTTTTTGGTATGATGTAAGATAAACTGCAAACTGCAAATGAATTTTTAATATATATATATAAATAATCTGTTGTTAATGCTGCTTTCAGTTCAACTAAAGTCAGAGAAAATAAAGAGGTCTCACAAAGCTGATCTTACCGACTCCCCTGATTGTTCTAGCGCCTCAACTGCTCAAATGTTCCGTCAAAATGCGATAAGTTTTTGTCTAATTAATTTACCCATAGTTTTAATGGAATCTGCGCTAAACACAATTCTCAGGGCAGACTTCAACTCTAGAAATTTACGGGATTTCACTAAAAAAGAGGAAAAGATATATGTAGTTCTATATTGAGCAATGGGCACAATATTTGTAATGAACTGCGTAACACATTTCAATCCCAAAATCCACATAATATGATATTGACTTTAGAAAGACGTACTAAAGACAGTTTTTACTAACAGGGAATGCAAATATTTAGTCCTGAAGAAAAAAAGTAGTTTCCACTACGAATTTCTTTATTGCCCACATACAAGAACTGTTTATAAGACAGTGATAAATTAATCATAAGCTGTATGGTATTACTTGCTACATTGGTATTCCAATTTCTTTTGCTCTCTAAAAAATATAATTATTTGAAATCAACATATTTATTGCGTTCAGAGATTATGCCCGATATCAATCAAAAGTTCTTTTCAGCAAGTTATTTTTAGGAAATGAATAAAAGTAAGATGATGCCATGAGTGGTGAATACGTTACGTGGTAGCACGTAATACCGCAATTCCACCAATTTTTCTAATACAATTAAAAAAATACAATTAATTAAAATAATATAAAATGATTTTTTGTTGTTGTGGTTCACTACTGTTCGAAAATACCTTTTTAAAAAAAAATATTTATTTTCCAAATGCGACTTTTTTGATTAGTTTCATTATCCAAGTGGTCTGAAAGAATCGCATAATATAGTTTTTGTAGTAGTTGAAGAAGGTAATGGATGAAATTGTCTTCACTGTTTTTGCAACATGTTCGCAAGGAGAATATAATGTCTCGACTGCTCTTTCATTTCCAGAATGTACTGATTTATCCTTGTATCATATGCTGTAATAAACTGATGCTGAAATCTTTTGAATTACTCTCAAATATTTGCAAACCCTTTTTGAAAGTGAGTAAATGCGGCACCCATATATATACCTTTGTAAAGTATTGTGATCGCGTTTATTTAAGATTAGCTTAATGTATATCACTACATTACTGATCTTGCGAACCTCCATCACTAAATCATGAATTTTTTCCGCCATATTCTGAGATGTTGGCTTACTCGGGCGTCCTGGCCTCAACAGTTTTGAATCTCATACTACATACAGTCGAAGTCATAAGTCTATAAGTAGGCAGTACAAAAAAATTTGTTTGAAAATATTTTCCAAAAAAATCAATTTATTGGAAACATGTTTTATGTTTTTTTTATTACATTCAATGCACAATATTTTCGCGAAGTTTCTTTGCATGTGTTCAAAAAACAGCCGAGATAACGGTGCTTTTATTTTCAAGGGTAGCAAAACAAGCGATCAAAAGGCTACAAGCACTTGGTATTTCTGCAGTTTTATGGCGATTTAAATGTTAATTGGTGATAATTTGGATTGCGTCTTACTGTGTTTTGTGGTATTTAATCATAAAACTGCAAGAAATTGTATTCTGCTTAAAATATTTACTAAAAAATGGCAATGGTGTCTCACCGGAATGAAATAAGCGTCATTGAAGACATAATCTTCATAAAATTTTGGGAGTAAGAGAAGTCGAACCGGGAAATTGGACATTTGTTTGGAAGATCGCACTGTTCGGTCCACACCGTGATCAGAAATTATTCATGGAAGAGTAGCACGAAAGAAGTCTTACATATCTCTAATTAATCGAAAGAAGCGCATTGCTTTTGCAAATAAATATGTAACGTAGATATGCCGGAGGAGTTTTGGAATAATGTGGTTTAATCCGACGAATCCAAGTTCTGTGTTTCTAGCATTTAAGGATGTAAATTAGTATGGCGTAAGTGAGGTGAAGCATACAATAAACAAAATTTTAATTGAACATATATGGGGATTTTTGAAAAGAAAAACTCTTAAATATTCAATTTCGACCAAACAGCATCTGAAAGACATAATCCTAAAGGAATGGGGCGAAATAATAACTCAGGATACTAGTAAACTTGTAGTTTGGATGAAAAACCGTCTAGTGCAAGTTCTTAAGCATTACGATTACCCAACTAGTTAAAATTGAATAAAAAATCAGGAATTTTACATTAAAACTTTGCCTTATACTAAGTGCTTGTAGACTTTTGATCGCTTGTTTTGCTACTTTTTAGGATAAAAGTACCGTTATGTCGGTTGTTTTTAGAACAAATACAAAGAAACTTCGCGAAAAGATTGTGCATTCAATGTTTTAAAAAAACAATAAAGTATGTTTCCAGTAAATTGATTTTTTTTGGAAAATATTTTTAAACAAAAGTTTTTGTACTGCCCGCTTAGACTTATGACTCCGACTGTATATGCTGATGCTTCCGATCCTATACTGAATAAATAAACTAGACTTGAACTTTGAAATAATCAATAATAAAAAAAATTAAAAACCTATGTGGTGCAGTTTTTACCGACTTAACAAAGTTGGAAGTTATATATATGTATATATATGTTAATAATCTGAGAATACATTTACATTGACGACCTGTAACCTATATTAAAAGCTGTACGATTTGAATTAAGTTCAGGAACCTAATAGCAAATTAGTAGATATGACAAAATAAGACAATACCTGCAAAGAGGGGAGAAGACGAAAGGATGTGATTTATGTACAGTTTTATTAAAAACGATATAAACTATTGTTTACAATTTTACGAGGCAATATTAGCCAACGAAATAAATTGTATATCTTTAATATAAACATAGAGTTAAGAAGTTAAAATTGTTAAATAAGATTAACGATATTTTCTGTCAAGGTTCATGTTTTATTTCCTTCTATTCATTACTTATTGTTTTTTTTATTTCTGCTCCTTTGTAAAACACCTAAGAACATTATGCCAATATATAATAAATTTGGACTAATAGTATGTTTCCACTGCTTACTTAGTAAGTGAAACTTTATTTATTATGTGAAATATTGATTAAAATTTTTCTAGACAAACAGAAGCTCTATTAAAACTTTCAAAGAACTTTCTGACACATAAAAGTTCTTTCCTATGTAATAAATAACTTTTGCTCATAGAAACGACAAAATCTTAAAATTACTTAAGTAACTTTCTAAGTAAGCAGTGAAAATATGGTATAACATGATAGTCCATATCATATACTAAGTACAACCCACTTACTACTTTGAAGTGAAAAGAGTTTAAATAATTATTAAAACTATAAAATATGAACTATGTAATACTTGTACAAGTATATATAATATTTGTTCTATTATTGGATTAGTGTTCCGGATGTATTTATGACAAGATAAAAAATGATTACTACACTGATTGCCTCTTACTGTTGCACTAAAGTCGCAGTTTTGCATCAAACACTGCTTCACAGTTCCTTAGTTATACATATAGTATGTATATACAAGATATAGTGCTCTCTGAAAACTCATATAAAACTCTTAAAAGATCAGTTGTAATAAATAAAAATGTAAAATGTTTACACCTTTGCCAAAATGTTGACATGTTTGAGTTTGATGAGATTTATTTCCATAGAGGTATCCGTCTATCTGAATCTAATCAAACTCTATTCAAACCTCTCAGCTTGACAACTGATTCCACTGGAACAAAATTGTCTATAAGAGATGGTGCGCTCATATGAAGCGCAGATTTTAAAAGATATTTACTAAAAATTAAAAAAAAAGTTCAATAAATTAAATATATAAAATGAAATTATGTTTTTATTTTTTAATATCATAAATGAATCTATTTTTAAGTACCTTTTCAATGTATGAATTATCTAATCTAGCCGATTTTCACACTTACTTGTAGAGATATGTATGCATGTGCGGGTTACATACATACATATTAAAATTATTTAATTTGGAGCGAATTAAATGTTAATATTAATTTTACATTCAAAATATGTACATTACATTCATATGTACCTATTTACGTACATATGTATGTATTTATTTTCTTTTGTATGAATTTTTATTTGTTATTCATTTTTAAATTCATGAAAGTTCGGTTGTGGTTATTTGCTTGCGTCTCGGCATATCTTTCGAAAAACTATGCCATAATTGAGCTAAATAATTGTAGATACAAAATAAAGTTGAAACAAGTATGAACCTGTACTGTAAATTAGTATGGCGTAAGTGAGGTGAAGCATACAATAAACAAAATTTTAATTGAACATATATGGGGATTTTTGAAAAGAAAAACTCTTAAATATTCAATTTCGACCAAACAGCATCTGAAAGACATAATCCTAAAGGAATGGGGCGAAATAATAACTCAGGATACTAGTAAACTTGTAGTTTGGATGAAAAACCGTCTAGTGCAAGTTCTTAAGCATTACGATTACCCAACTAGTTAAAATTGAATAAAAAATCAGGAATTTTACATTAAAACTTTGCCTTATACTAAGTGCTTGTAGACTTTTGATCGCTTGTTTTGCTACTTTTTAGGATAAAAGTACCG